ATGCTTTCCTTACAAAATATAAAATAAAAATGAATACAGTCCTATTTTATTTCCCTTCCAAAAAATGAAGGATCTTTCTAGCTGCAGATCATAGGGGGGAAATGGGGCAAGGTCCTGTGTCCTACTGCCTTGGTTTCTGTTGCCCACACAATCTATTTTTCTACATCTGTACCTTAACCGTATTAAACTACAGATTCCAAGTCAGAGGTAGAATGCCCAGTTTTATTTCTCAGGATTGAAAAGTTTGCCACGATGCCCTAAAAACAAAGCTTTCGACATTCAGTCATACCTAGCAGGAAATGAATGCACTCATAGTTTGCAGAAGATAATATTTAGGTTGCAGTTTTATGTGCAACTGTATGGGAATAAATTATATTTGCATTTACTGGAGTTTCTAAATAATTCCCCAGATCTTGATTTAGATTATTAAATGAATCACGCTTTCTCCCAAACACTACCTTTTTGCTGACATAAGAAAGTCCTCCATAAATACTACATATAACCTTTCAGTCTGTGGACACATACCAGCACTTTTCAATTCACAGCCTTTTTTCTTCTCTCTCCAAAGTATAGATAGAGAGAGAGAGAGAAAAGATGAATCTTAAGCCGGATACAGTTTCTTTAAACTCCTTTGACCAGATTGCTCACTATGGACCACAGTTTAAAGAATTTAAGGATGTCAATTAGACTAGAATCTGATTGAAATTGTAATAAGTCCTGTACCTCTGGAAGGAAGGGTGGAGGAGAAGTCCTGGTCACTAGACAATGCCCTGCATGAAAGAATTGGTTAAATTCATCAAATCAGTAGAATTGCTGCACCTCATTCATTGGCCCAGGGTTCATATTTTCACCACAGGTTTGACTGTATGTTGTCCTGAAGATGTTGTTGGACTCTAACCTGAATCAGCCACTCTCAGTCAAGGCCAACAACATTTGGAGTCTTAGCCACTAACATTTGGAGGACCTAGGGTTGTCTTTTCTTTGACTGGAAGGCATGATGTGACTGGATCTGCTATTTGGTGTTGTTGTTAGTTGCAATGTTGTGTCCAACCCATCACGACCCCGTGGACAACACTCCTCCAGGCCTTCCTGTCCTCCACCTTCCCCCAGAATCCACTTAAGCTCACACTGACTGCTTCAGTGACTCCATCTAGCCACCTCATCCTCTGCCATCCCCTTCTTCTTTTGCCATCTATTGTTCCCAGCATTAGGCTCTTCTCCAGGGAGTCCTTCCTTCTCATTAGGTAGCCAAAGTATTTGAGTTTCATCTTCAGTAACTGGCCTTCTAAAGAGCAGTCAGGGTTGATCTTCTCTAGGACTGACTGGTTTGATCGCCTTGCAGTCCAAGGGACGTGAAAAGCTTTCCGGTTGCATTTCTGCATTTCTGGCAATTGTTAAGCTCCACCACAGAAAAAGGAAAAGAAAGACCCTATGAAGATGTATAGTATCAAGTACATGCATTGAATTTAGAACTGCTGAAGCTGTATTCCCATTTTGAAGAAAGTGCCTTTATTTATTCACATATTTACATGCTGCATATAATTGCCAAAGACATTCTTTGAAAAGTCATGCTTATGCTTAATCTGATATCTATGCTGTCATTGTACAACTTGGCTACCATGGGGTTTTTTTCCATGAGATCTCCAACTTCCATTCTAACAAGTTGCCTTTCAGATATGAAAAACCAATTTGATAAGTCATGCCTAGTTGGCTGCATTTTTCACAGGTAACCCCTAGCTATGCTGAATTATACCTTGGAGAAGTAGCATCCACTGTAAGACTCTTCTACAGAAAAAGCTCTTCACTTAATCTAAAGTTGTCATGTGCAACTAGGCCAATCCAAAAGTGTCACTGCAGATGGCTTGTGTGAAAGTGGAACTGTTCTTTGTGATTTGTGCAGGAGAGAGAGTGACCTAATTAATGCCAGATTCAATCCATGGCACAAAATTCCCCATTAATATCATTTTTTTCCATCTTCAATGATTTGTTTTCATTTTCATTTGGGTGATCTGTTTATTTCCTACTGTACAAAATACTTATTTGTATTTTGTTTTATTTTATTTTTCTTATTTATGTAAGCTGTCCTGAGGATATGCGATGGACGGCATACAAATACTCTAAATAAATAAATACAAATGTTTTGATGGAATATTAGTGTTTTGCTTTAACATACTTTGCTGCATTTAATTCAAACTTATGGAAGGTTATCAGAAATGATATTTGAAAGGAAAAAAAGTTATGAAGGACCAACAGGCCAAAGGTCCATCTATTCTAACATGCTCACACAGTGGCTAGCCAGCTGCCTAGTGGAAGCCTTTAAGCAGGACGTCAGTGCCACAGAACCTCCTTGCCCAAGTTCCCCAGCAAGGCATACTGCTTATGATACAAAAGCCATCAGGACTAGTAGCCCTTGGTAACCTTATTTTCCATTAATGTGTCCAGTCCCCTTTTAAAGCCATCCAAATTAGCAGCCATCACTACATCTTGTGGAAGTGAATTCCATAGATTTGACTAGGCCATTTGTGAAGAAGCACTTCCTTTATCCATCCCAAATCTCACACTGATCAGCTTCATGGGATGAGCCTGGGTGCTACTATTATGGAAGAGGAAGAAAACTTCTCTGCACCTTGTGCAATTTGATAGACCTCTATCATGTCTCCCCCTGTTCATGTTTTTTTCTAAACTAGACTCTCCTAAATGTTGTAACCTTCCCTCATGACAAATTTACTGCAGCTCCTCTTTTCTTTTTGTCACTTTTCTGAGGATATTGTAGAGTTGGAAAAAGTTAAGAAACCAGAAGGGTCCTTGGTTGCTCTCCTGTCTCATTTCATAATTCCTTCTTCTGTCTTCCTTCGCTTTTATCTAATGACTCTAGTCTAGGATTTGGCCAGCTCAGACTTGTGGGTGTTACTGCACAAAAGTCATACACATAAAATTAAAGAATTCTGTTCTGCATATCAGAACTGTGCAGTAGTCCTCCCACACAAAAACCCACTTCTGATCACCCCAAGTTTCCTTCCATTTGTCCTCAGTATAATTTAGAGTAGGGGCAGTCATTTGTCACTGTTATTTGGGTGGGGAAGTGGAGGGGGGAAGTCAGAAATCTTAGCTGAGCTCCTGCAAAATGCCCAGAGATTTACCAGTTGATCCTTGTCTAATTTTTTACTCATCTTTGCCCTATTCTGCAGCCATGCTGACATTGAACATTTCCATATAGCCTGAATTCCTGACCCTGCCTAATCTTGGAAGCTAAGCAGGGTTGGGCCTGGTGAAAATATGGATGGGTGATTTGAGTCCTGTATGGAACCTGATGGCCTGCTAGGTCACTTACAATTGTATGATTCTATGAGTTGATGTTAGGTATAGATGCTTTTGCCAAGAGTCCCAAATGCAAGAATCCCTGTAGCCTGGGAAGAGTAGCAGTGGGCTATTGTCATATCATGATTGTGGATTCTCGGTAGCATCTGCTTGACCACTGTGTGGAGCAGGCTGCTGGATCAGTAGGGCTCTTCTTGAGTGTGCATGTGTTCAAAATGAAGTAAATAGGCGAACTGAGTAATCTGTTCACAGGAAGGCTCCTTATACCGAGTATGGTCTTCGTGTATTTCAACAGGTCACCACAGCTGAGCAGACCAGACTTGAAAGAGCTACTCTGTTTTTTCCTGCAATTTGAGGTCCACCAACAAAAATTAGATGAAAAATGGTGGCTTTAGTAGTGGAGCTAATTGTTCTACTGCCTGAGATAATGAACCTCAAAAATATGAACCAACCTGTATTTGTATTACTGCAGAATCACGTAACACAAAAAGCTAAAACTGACCAGCAGAACTGTACAAAGACCTAGTCAAAGGCAACCAGTCTGCATTCATAATTTGCATGGAAAGAACACTGAGGCCAAAAGAACTGTGATGCGCGCTATACCAGCCATTTGCTTCTAATTTTACTTGCTGCTGGTTTGCTTGTAGTCAGAAACACCAATCTAGAATGCAAATAAGAATGCAATAAATTCTGGTCTAGTCTTTGCCCATCACTGACTGATGACAGTTATCTAGACTTTCAGACAGGACTTTTCTAGCCCTATCTGGGAAAGCCAGAGGCCAGCAGATCTCTCAGTGCAAAGGCATTGCCCTTTCCAAGTAGAGAGTGCATCCAACATGTTGCTTTGAGGTAGAATTTTTCAGATAAAGTGAAAGTCTACTTTATCACAGTAGATAAAGTGTGTGTGTTTCGTTTCTGTGGTAGAGATTGGGCTAGAGCTTGTTCAGTCATTCAGGATTTAGTGGCTTGGTATGCCGAGTCCAGATGTTATGTCTGCAAAAACAAAGAATCCCCATATTTTTGTGTAATTCATGACCTCTAAGTATGTTGTTCATACATGATGATTGCATATATTATATAAACATGTAAACCTCACCCATCAGTAGTGCCAGTTTTCTATGTTATCATTTATCTTTCTATAAATTTGTGATGCTTTGGAATCCTTGACATTGCCAGGTTGCTGGAATACTTTTAAATTCCTAGTCAAACGTTAATGCCTCAAGAGACAAAATAAGACAAGAAAACAACAAACATTGTTATGATTTAATGGTTTTGACAAATGAATAGTTAAATAGAGGGTTGGCTGGATGATCATATCCAAACCAGAGAGAGAGTGGGGGTGGGCGGGGGGAGAGGTAGAAATTAGTTCAGAGATTATTGTTCTGGGATAATTGAGCATGTAAAAGAGACTTTTTAGCATTCAGTGTTTTTCAGAGTACATCCAGTTTCAATATTTAGATAAGGTACAAAGGCCTGATTGAATGCCTGAATGTAACTGAATATACAGGTGTTGGGGTAAATGCTTTTCTTGTTGTTGTAGAAAAAGTTTTAAAAAGTTAGCACATAAAGTATCAAGTTAGAATGGATCAGTTCAAGATCATACTGCTTGGTTTTGACTGGCATAAGGTGTAGATGATAATTTTCTGGTTCTTTCCCTCCCTCTCCCTCCTCTTTCTCTCCAGGTTCCACCATGTGCTCTTCAGATTCTAGCGAGTGCCGGTCCTCACATTGCAGTCATATAATATTCTCTTAGTGCAAGATACACGTTACAGGTTGTCCAGTGGAAGTGTGGCTGATTCACTGGCCCATTTGCAGAAGGAATGGACACCCACATGGACTTGCTGACAGAGCTCCAACTGTTGGATAAGGTCCCCACACTAGAGAGGCTGCGGGCAGCTCAGAAGCGCAGGGCTCAGCAGCTAAAGAAGTGGGCACAGTATGAGAAGGAGATGCAGCACAAGAAGAGGAAACACGAGAAAAAGAGAAACGTGGTCAGCCGCAAGAAGGTTTCTTTTGAGGCCAGTGTTGCCCTTCTGGAAGCTTCATTAAGGAATGATATTGAAGAAGGTAAGAAGTGCTGAAAGTTCCCATACCGTGTCTAAGAGTTTCTCCCAGTTTGGTGCTGGGAGCACCCCGTGTGGTGTTGGGACCACAACTCCCATAGTCTCAGCCAGTGAAATCCCAGTTGGCTGGGATTATAGGAACCGAGATCCCAAAATATATGAACAGTGTCAAGTAGGGAAGGGCAAACAGACAACTGATGTGTGGATATAAACATAAGAGCGTCCAGGGCTCTCACTGGCTATGGAGGTGATAAAAGGTTTTGCCCCTAAAGCCAGAAGCACCACACCCATACTCTTTTAAGCGGAGAGGTTGTTTTTTTCAGTCCAACTGTTCAGAGAGATTTGCACCTTCCACGGCTTTGTTTTCTATGCTGGCCCTCATTCTGCTGCCATCTGTACTCTCTATGTTGCCATTACTGTTAGTTCATCAAGTTTGCAGCTTGGAGGTCTCTTGGATGCAGTGCTGTATGTGGAAGGACAAGTGGTGGGGCTTGGCTAGCAGTTGCCCTGTACCAGTTTAGTTGAGTAGGGTTGCCAGCTGGGATCCTATGTAGCCTCAGTTACTTATGAATGATTGGCATCAAGGCTGGACTCCTGTCATATGCTCGGTGTGGAGCTGCTTTGAAGACTGGCTGGAAACTTCAGCTGGTGTGAAATGCTTTCTCTAAGATGTTGGTGGCTGCTTGCAGGGCCATCAGTACATGTGAAATCAATGCTGAGCCCATGGCATAGTTTACTGGTGCATTTCGAGTCCCATTTCGGTGTAATGGTACTGATTTTTAAAGCTTAGAATGGTTTCAGGCAAAGTTATTTGAAGGAGTGCTTTCATATGGATTTGCCTAGCTTCAAGAAGAACTGGAGGCTCTGCCTTTGCACCCTCATGTGTGATCAGTTAGGTTGGCAGGCATGGAGGGCTGTGGAAATCTCTTCTAGCTGAGGTATGCCCACCTTTACAGGACTGTAAATGGGCTCTGAACGATCATTTGTTTTGAGCTGTTTCCTTTTTGTCTCGACTTGTTTCGTTTCTTCTTGTCTCGTCTCACTTCACTTTGTTTCTGTTCAATTTTTATAACCTATTTTCAAATACATCATTCTCATCAACAACAAAAAGGGGAAGAAAGGTTAGAGGAAGAAAGAACATATCTTAAAACAGATCCATACACAGTAATCATTTGCATCACCCCTGATATGGAAAAAGAAAGAAAAAGAGCTGAGAAGAATTTAACGTTTCCATTTCAAACATATGCACCACTATAAGCGATCAATTTATCTATAGTGCTGTGCAGAAGTAGTCACTCCTCTTTGACTTTTCCACATTTTGTGGTTTTTACAAGCTGGAACTGCAATGGATTTAGTTGTCCTTGTTAACACCTGATGTTCACAAGATACCAAGCACTGTGAAGCTGATGGTGTTTTTATTCTGGCACAAAAGTTAAGTAAACAAAAACAAACCAACACTTGTGGGTTACATAAGTATCCACCTCCTGAGTCAGTACTTGTTAGAAGTACATTGGCCAGCAATTACAGCTCCAAGTCTTTTTGGAGAGGTCTCTGCTGGCTTTGTACTTTGAGATTCAGCAGTGTCTGCGCATTCTTCCTGGCAAGACTGCTTTGGCTCTGTCAAGTTGGACGGGCACCATTGACTCACAGCAGCTTTCAAGTCTTGCCACAGATTCTGCTTTGACTGGGCTCTTCTGAGACATTCAGATCCTTGTTTTGAAACCATCCCAATGTTACTTGGGCTGTGTGTTTAGGGTCATCATCCTTCTGGAAGAAGGTGAACCTCTGCTCCAGCCCCAGATTCATTTCAGGTTTTCCTCTAGAATTGCCCTGCAGTTGACTCCATTCGTTTTGTCCTCAATCTTAATTGCATTCTCAGTACCTGCCAAGGAAAAGCATCCCCACAGCATGGTGTTGCCACCCCCATGCCTTACTGTGGAGATCATGTTCTCAGGGCTAGGAGCACTGATAGATTACTGTTAGAAAGTTCTGTGTTGGTGTCATCGAGACTAGAGAACTCTTTCCCACATGTTCCAAATAGGCTTCGATATGGATTTGTTTCTGCACTGGCTTTCTTCTTTAAAGCCCAGATCTGTGGAACATCTGGGTGATAACTGTCCCAAGCATTGTTATTTCCATCTCAGCTGTGGATCTGTCCAGCTCCTTCAGATTTACCACTGGCCTCTTGGTTGCTTCTCTGACTTAAAGTCCTTTTTACCCTTCCACTGAGTGTTGGTGGACAGTCTCCTCTAGGCAGAGTCATGGCTGAACCATATTCTTTCCATTTTGAAAAATGAATTTGATGGAGCTCGAGGATATGCTCATACTATCGATAGAGAATTTTTAAAATAACCAAACCCTGATTAGGGATTCTATAGAACTTTATTCTAGAGTTGTTTCCATAGTTCCTTGGTCTGCGTGGTGCTGTTTGTTTAGACATTCCCTGCAAATTCTCTGGGGCTTTTCAGAGCAGGTGCATTTAGTTTGAGACCTTTGCTAATGAAATTGCACACTGGTGAACTTTTTTCAGCTACTTGTACTGACGTCTGGAGGCAGTGGTTGCACTAAAGCTTATTTAGACATGTTAGAGCAAAGGGGTATGCATGAGTGAATACTTCTGCAATCCCCAAAGGTCAGTTTTTTTTTTTTTTACTCAACTTTTGTAGCACAATAAAAATATTTTGCACCTTCACAGCACTGAGCATCTTGTGTATATCAGGTGGTAACAGTGCCTATTAAATCCTTTTCAATTTTAGATTGTAACACAGCAAAATGTGGGAAAGTCAAATGGAAGTGAATATTTCTGGAACACACTGTAAATAAACATGCCCTAATGAGAAGTTATGATGCTGTTGGTCTAAATTGATACTGAAATAGTTATTATTTTATCAGCTTTATGTGCTGGCCTAGGTGATAGATTTTAATTTTTATTCTTGTTGATTCCCACATTTTTATGATTTTCCTGCTTTTTTAAAAAGATGGTTGATTATGTATTCACTGTTTATAGATGGGGCTTGATGTATGTTATATAAGTCATTCTACTTTAAATATTCTGTACAAAATATAAGGTCTATTTCTACAGTGTCTTGTGGTAGTTAAGACATCACACAGGGCCTATTTCATTTCCATAGAAACTTTAGAATAGCTTAATTTGTCCTAACCTGACAATACAAATAACTTTGTATTTTAAATAGCTGGGAGAAATACTTAAAGACCATTATCTGCCTAAGAATTGCTCTCAGCCGCTAGTCTGGCACTCGGAGCCATTGACCATCAGTGAGCAGACAATACTGAGCCAGTTAGACAAATAGTCTGGCTCAGTGGCATTCTGTACATCTAAAAATTGGGACTGGATTTGAAGATTCCTGTTCAGATTATTCAAATCAGAAGCAAATGAGGTTTTGAATGTGGCTCATGATTTTTAAAGGAGGATTTTGCAGACCTGTGGATTTTTGGATTTTGCCTGAAGTGAAACTGGTGAATTATCTGAGCAATGTTGAAGCAAGGCAATAGAGGTTTGTTAAGAAGGGTGAAAATAGTTGGAAAAGGGGCAAAGGAAGTTTCACACATCCTTCATGTGTCTCTGGACAGCTGAGTTTTGTTGTTGGTCTGAATGAATATTGGTCATGAAGATGAATATTTTATGAAAGCTTGAAGCTACTTCTACTTTTAAGATTCCTGTTTTACAATGTTTGAATGGTTTTGTTCCACATTCGGCAGACTTTAGAAATCACGTTCTTCTGTGTGTGCATGCATGTTTATATATATAAAATGCAAAGGAGGATTATGTAAGCCGCCTTTGGTTCCTTGTAAGAAAAAAGTAAGATTATAAATAGGAAAAGCAGAATATAGGGAATGCACATACACAGATGAAATGCTTAAGTCCTGCAAAAACAAGCAAACAAAAACATATCTGTAAAGGGAAGAAGTGGGGTGCCCTAAATCCCAGCAGGTGGGGTAAAAGGTTGCCCAGACTGAACACCAATCCAGCAAGGTAGGCCTCCAGCACTGCTTTATCTCCAGCTCAGCCTGAGCCAGAGCACTCTCAGACTTAACTGGTCACTCTTAAAGCCCATGAAACAAAGTCCAGAAGCAGCAACTTCAGTTTCAAAGCCCTAAACCAAAACAATATTTCTGGATTTAACACAAAGGCTTATTTGAAATGAAGCACACGTCTTTGATTATGATGAGGGCAAGCTTATTTGTGGAAAGAGAAAAAAGGGAAAGAGAGGCACAGAACAGTCAAATAGCTTAACAGGCAAGTTTGGAAATAGTACTTATAGGGCAAAACAATAAAGCTGGCTAAATTTATCTATATAGCTGCATGAGTATTCTATAAATCAGGACTCGGTGACCCTTCAGTCAAAACCTGTCCTTAGGAAGGTCTCTTTTCTCTCCAGTTTTAGACCCAAGTGCTCTGGTAAAGCTAAGGTTATCCATATTAGTCAATCATAAACTGGCTGAAACATTCTTCTCAGGCATTTTGATCAGGAAGGTAGAAAATCCCTACCAATGCTCAGCTTGAACTCATTCATCCCCATCGATGAGACTGCTGCTGTGCCCTTAGAGGCAGAGGGACTGGGTCTTCACTTCTGCAGATGACCTAGCAAGGGAGTGCAGGGCAGGCCCAAGCTTTCAGCATGGAACTTTTTCAGGCTGGTGAGGCACAGCAAGAACATGGATCTCTTGACAATATAATAGAATTTATACCATATGCTCCCTTATATGGCTGGGCTGTTTTGCTGAAATTGCTGATTGGTTTGGTCAGTCAGAATCTGATTTGGATGTTGTTTAGACTATAGCCGGATCCATTAGAAGAATTAGTATAGCTTGAAAGGAAATACCATGTATGTCTAAATTAGACAACAAATTGTTTAGAAGCTGAGAGGAAGATGAAAGTAGGATTAGCCCAGATATTTCCCTGCTTGCCTCCCTCATTAGGCATAAATTGTTCAACTAGGACAAGACAATAGGACCCCATGGTGCAATCAAGATCTAAGGATT